GATGTTCTGAGACGAGCGGCCGGAGAGAGATAGCACTCGGGAAATAGGCTCGGCGATGAGCCTTACGTACTGCGGCGAACGTCAGAAAGTCGTCACAGCTGGCTCTGCTGCCCTCTCTGTGTGTCCTTGCTTGCGACGCCCACGTGGAAAGCTGGGCGATGTGTGTGACATTGTTGTGTCCAATCCTGTCATTGCGATGCCGCGTGGTAAGCTGAGCCGACCTGCTCGCAATTGCTGAGTCGGCATCAGTCTTTGCTTCTGCCTTGCTGGGCTTGCAGTGACGCACGAGACGGCCCGGACCACCATTGCGCGCAAGGCCGTGCCTCATGAAGGTGGAGAAGAAAGCATGTCTTGTTGTCAGCGTGTGAGCATTTTCCCAAGGTGCGATGAACCTCTGCCTGCATTTTGGAAAGTAGAGCCGGCCAGCCAGTCCCGGCCAGTTACAGTCAAGGGCTGCATGGGCTGTCTGAGCCGATCTGATAGCCACCTCTCCAAAGAATTCAGAGACCTCGTATTCGGCCAGGATAGCTGGGCAGAACGCTGGGACACCGGCGCAAGCTGCATCAAGGCCTCAAGTCAATTTGCCAGACAGTTGCACGTACCTGGCACAACTGAAAGTTGGGCAGCAAATAAAAACAGTGTGGACATGTTGGGTGGGCTATCTACCACACGTCTCGTCCCCCGTTTGCTGAATCCGCCCTACCGAGCTAGAGTGATGCACTGGTTGGGGCTGCCTCTGTTTAGGACGTTTGTATTGGAGGATGGATTTTGGCCCCGACTGCCACAAATACTGCTCTTGCGAGACCCAAGTGATTGGGAAGCTGGGCTTGGGTGGCGCTACATGCTTCGTTAGCGCGTGTCTTGTTCCATTCTGATTTTTTCCGAACTGCTCCACCATGGTGGACATTGGTGAGTCGCCCGACTCGCACGTATGCTCCCTTTTTTCAATTCTCGCCTCCTGGCGTCAATGAGGCTGACGCAATTGTGAGCTGCCCTTGCGAGGCCCACCTTGTGGGAAGCTGGGCTTTGGATCCGTGATCCTCCATGTGGCTCTTTCGCGGCCCATGTGGGTAGGGAACTGATCTAAGATGCCAGGTCGCCATTGCAATCACTGTCCCTGCCTTGATGACCTTATTGACGCAAGTGGGATGTCTTCACATTGCCCATGCGAGCCCCTTCTGAGAAGCTGGTCCTCTCGTCAGCGATGGTGCCCCTTGTGTGTTGCCCTTGCGAAGCCCACATGTGTGGGAAGTTGGCCCATGCGAGGCCCACGTGGGTGGGAAGCTGGCCTATGGTGTCAGGTCGCCATGGCTATCACTGACCCTGTCTTGCGGGTTCGCTGATGCCACGGGATGCTTTTACGCTGCCCTTGCGAGACCCTGATGGGAAGCTGGGCCTGGTGGGTGTATCAACCGACAGGCCGTCACGTACATTGTGTGTAATACACACTTTTAGGGGTTACACCAAATCTGCTGGGGCGGCCGCCCCTATCCTGTCTGCTGTTGTCTGTGGCCTCTGGTACTCAGGATGGCACATTCGCGCCGATCCTTTTACTCCAGGGGAAGCTTGACTGGATGGCGATTGTAGCTACAGCTAGTTCGTACATCGCCTCTTGGGGGCTTGCCTACCGCGCATGTGCGAGCTGCAGGGCCTTTACACTGTGCTACAATGCTGCCCTTGCGAGGCCCACTTGTTGGGAAGCTGGGCTTTCGTTGCGGTTGTGACTACTGACACACGCCCCTTGCTCCTTCATGGCCCTTTGTCATCAGTAATTTGCCTGTGCATTGCACTTGCGTGATTCTCACGTGAAGCTGGGCCTTGCGTGCTTGTCAACCGGCATGCCGCCATCACTGGCAGCCTGTGCTTTATTGTGAATGGACGCCATTGCGCGACTCAGTATTACTGAGAAGCGGGGCATCTGAGCGAGGCGCGTAGTTTTGGACCGAACACACTAGTCGAACGACCACTGCCGGCTAAGTCTGCAAGTCGCGACTTGTTTCACCAGCGAATGCGTAGCCACTACTTTTTGTACAGTTTATCTGTTTCATTCTTTAGTTCTTACTGGGACCGAGTGCAGCAACGGCTGTCTTTGAGGCCCGCCCACGCCAAAAAAAAAACCATTGTTTGAACTGCCCTTGTGCCCTTGCGAGACCCAATCTGGTGGGAAGCTGGGCTGGTCCGTAGGCTTTGTGCCGTTCTTGCGTCAGCTCAACTGACTGGATGGTGCTGTTGCCTCACCGAACATACGTTGCAGGGAATCTATTGCCAGTGCCGGAGCGCTTTGCAGCTTCTTGTGATTTGGCTGCTTTGCCCGTCTTTCGATTCTCGGCCACGGATCGTTGCCCTTGCAAGGCCCTTGGTGGCAAGCTGGGCATGAGAACGCCACTCGTCGGTGCACCTTCCTTTGCTTGGCATGCACGCGCCTACTTTCTCCGCTATCGATTTGCGTCCCACCTTGCGGGGACTCTTCCTGCTCCAATTAGTCCTGGCCCTTGCGAGGCCCGCTGCGATGGAAGCTGGTTGTGGGCAATTTTGCATAGTTTGCTCGACTCTTCCCCCTGTGGGGGTGCTGCGTGTGTTGGTACAGTCATCCTTCCTGCCCTTGCGAGATTGTGGGAAGCTGGGCCTTACACGCGGTGCTGTGACGAGGCTGCCTGGGTACGGCAAGAACATCCACTTGCAACGCTATCTTGTGTGTGATCTCATGAGGCCCTTACGAGCCCACCTCGGTGGGAAGCTGGGCCGGTTTTTATGATCAGTCATTTGCGATTTGCCCTTGCGAGCCCTGCCTTGGCGGGAAGCTGGGCTTGAATTCATCTTCAGCATATACCCTGGGCAAGCTCGGTGATGCTCGGATGTTTGTATGGCGATTGGCCCTCCTTTCTGGCCATGTCAAACCCTTGAGTTGCCCGGCTTCTGCACACTGCACTCGTGAGCTGTCTTGTGCTGCCAACGGTACCAAGGGAGACCATGCTTTTGCCATTGCGCAACTCAGTTTAACTGGGGAGCGGGGCGTCTGAGCCGGGGTAGCTGCTAGCCTCGTGCATGTTGCTGAACGACGCCTGCCGGCTAAGTCTGCTAGTCGCGGCCTGTTTCACCGGTATTTGCTTTGATTGTACAGATTCTTCAGTTCTTGGCCTTCTTGTAGTTCTTGCTGGGACCGAGTGCAGCAACTGCTGTCGATGAGGCCCGCCCACGCCAAAAAAGAGGCTGCTGCTGTCGGAGCCTGACTCCCAGAGGCAAAAGGCCTCAGGTCTAGTCCGGGACGGTGAGCAGTGGGAGAGTTGGCGGCACGCACTCGTGACGGCGAAACTGACCTTATAGAGGCTTGAGCTCACAGGTTTTGCATCTCTGGTAGAGGGTGTGCGAAGTGCGCGAAGTACTGTGGAGGCTCCTTATCCGCGACAACTGTTTTTCGAGCAGCTATCAACCCCCGAAACCCGCCCTTCATTAGGCTGGCTGGGGATCTCAAATTGTCGAAATTGGCAAACCTAAAACAGCAGTGGAAAAGTGTGGAGCGTGCCCGCTCTGTTCTGAGTGCTGTGTGCGCAAGGCCCAGAGGCCCCGAGGCTCTAAAGGCCCCGCGGAGCCTCGTGCTCCAAGGCCATGAGAGGACCGCTCTCCGAGAGGGAGGAGCTGTGACTCGCAAGGTCGAGCATGCGGAGCTTCTACAGAACAAGTGACTGGTTCAACCAATCACGCAACATCAGAAAGATCAGCGTTTCCTTTTTTCTGTGTATTTGGTCAGTTCAGATGCAGTTTGCATTGTTTCGACATTCTGCAGTGTCTGCACATTCAGAAGCTTGAAGATTCAGCACTTGGCTCTCAACTGCAACCTTGTGAAGTTTGATGGCAGAAGCAGATGCATTCCCAAACGGCAGAGTAAAAGTCTCTTGTGAGTGCTGCAGACAGCATCTTCCCTGCTGCGTGCGTTTGTGCGAGCACACTCTTGAACAAGTTTGTGTTTGAACCCTGAGTTCAAACACTAGTGTTGAACCCAGGGTTCAAAACATCAGTCGTAACCAGGGTTTGAACCCAGAGTTCCAAACTGCTGTTACCGGTGTTTGAGCCCTGGATTCGAACCTGGTTTCGAAGGCAAGGTTAAACTTTGTGAACGAGCTGATGGTCCTGCTGCATGCTCGACGAGAAGCACCGCCAGCATTTGCAGTGCATGTCGAAAAAAGTGGAAGGTCGACTTCGTCTGCAAGCTTGCAGCTTTTCGCTTGTTGGCTCTTCGTTTCACCTTGCTGTTCGGTTGGCTTGTTGATTGCCAGTCTCTACCAGCGGCAGACCTACGCTTTTGGGTGACAAAGTCAGACAGTTCGTTTCATCGTCGTCGAACCCAGATGCAAAGGCACTTGAGTAGATTCCGAGATCAGAAGCCGAAAATGAAATGCATGCATGAGAAAACACACACATGTCACAATTAACATGCTCAAATAAAAATGCTTAAAGCAACATGATCATGCAAAAAAACTATCATTGGTTTTCAAGCATGTACATGCTTATTTAAACAGAGAAACAGCTTAAAATAAGCATTAGAGTCTCTAAATAGCATTACTGCTGACTGCGTCTGCGTGATGATCATTGAACTGCGACAACTTGTCGCTACAACAATTTCTTTGGCAGCTGTGGAGCAGCTGTGAAGTCCGAAGGACACCATGTTGCTTCCCTAGCGAAGGCTGTTTCAAGGCTTTAAGTTTTGCGCGAGAGCGCTCACAAAATCTCAAGACGTATTCATGTGGGTAATCATGCAACTCGCGGTTGCTCCATCAAGACTTGACTGAACCAGTGAGTCAACGACCCTCTGAGGCAGAGCTCGAAGGACGTCTAGAGTTTTCGTTTGAGGTTGTATGTTGTTTGAACACGGGAGAATCAAAGTACGGAAACCCATGCCGAGGCCATGAGAGTCTGTAGGTGGGGTGTTTATGATTTCTCCCATTTGTAGATCTCACCATACGGTGGACGCCTTACGTCAGCCTACCCCGCGAGTTGCAGCCATGGGACATAGTGCTTCATCTCCGAGCGCCACCAGTGGTTCATGTGCAGAGTCGGTTGCTTGCTTGCATGAAGAGATGTGCACAGTGCTTGGTCATGTCATTTTTTTGGTAGCTTCGCGTGATCCAACAGTGATATTGTGCTAGAGTTCGAGGTCACCATGCCGCAGATGGGCATCAATGGTTTCGGACGCATTGGGCGCCTCACTCTCCGTGCAGCCATGGAGAATCCTTGCGTGGCTTGCCTGCAAGGACATGTTGCTACACGGACTTGGTGTGGAATTTCGTTTGCTTGGACGAATGCAGCCCTGCGGAGGTTACGATTGTTGCAGTCAATGATCCGTTCGTGGACCTTGACTACATGAGATATTTGCTGACGTACGATTCCGTGCACAATAGATTCAATGGTGTAGTCTCCGCGAAAAAGGAGAGATCTCGCACAACCCATCAATATCGGACATATGTAGCGCTGCCAAACATGATCCCATCCTTTGCAGGAGAATGGCGAAGAGTACTTGGTTGTCAATGGACTTCAAGTGCGAATTTTCCACGAAAAAGATCCTGCTTACATCCCTTGGGGATCCGTTGGTGCAGATTATGTCTGCGAATCAACAGGCGTGTTCTGCGACAAGGCCCATGGCCCATGATCGATGTTACAAAGAATCCAAAACACAGCTGCCATGTTGCCGTCCCTACATATCCCTCGTACAGGAAAGGGCATCGAGGCATCTTCAAGGTGGGTGCAAGAAGGTTATCATTTCGGCCTTTCCGAAGGACATGCTATTCTCTTCTCCGACTGTGCCGAGGGACGTGCATGATTTTGGGCAAGCTTTCAACACTGCAGGACAGCACGCCCATGTTCGTTGTGGGTGTGAACCATGAGAAGTACACGCCGGCCGGGGATTCAGAAAAAACTAGTGCTACCGACCGTTTTTGCCGAGCCGCGCCAACGAAGATGCCAGGACATGCAGGTTGTGTCGAATGCCACCAGCGCTGCGAACTGCTTGGCGCCTTTGGCCAAGGCCCAGAAGGTGTTGGCACGTGTCAGCAGTTTACGATGAATACCACACAGACAGCCTGGCCTGTATCCAGGTCATCAATGACAACTTTGGTATTGCAGAGGCCGATAAGTAGACGTGAGTGATGCCTAGGATTGCTTTTGCCAGCTTGGTTTTTGGCATGTGTTGCAGGGCCTGATGACCACTGTCCACGCCATGACAGCTACCCAGTTGACCGTCGATGGCCCGTGCCGTGGCGGGAAGGACTCCCAGTGCCAGCCCTAGTCCGCGGACGCCTTGGCCATGCAGGACTGGCGTGGTGGACGTTGTGCCTCGCAGAACATCAGTCCATCCTCCACCGGGATAGCCAAGGCGCGTGTGCTGTGCGGTGTAGATGAGAATTCTCGTTTCAGGGTCACACAGCTTGCACGCGCCCGAGCAAATACCTAGGCAGTGGGCAAGGTGATCCCAGCTCTCAGTGGCCAGGAACTCGCACTCTGTTTCGGCAACCGCGGGAAATGGATGTTCAGACGTTTGATTCTGTCAGTGTGTATATAGGGTACGGGACCCAGGTAAAATGCACGGCATGGCATTCCGGGTACCAACTCCTGATGTCTCTGTTGTGGACATGACCTGCCGGCTGGACAAGCTTGGGACCCTGAGTGCCTCTGTGTGTGGGTGTGTGTGTGCAGGGGCTGATCTCTATTTGAAGTTTTCAGGCCAGCAAGCATGGATGACATCTTTGCTGCCATCAAGAAGGCTGAGGAAGGCTCGATCCTCACTGCAGAGTTCCGGAAGTATTGTGCATGAACTACGGCTGGCCCTGCAGACTTCCAGCATGATGTCGAACCCATGCTTTTTCAGCAGGCCCCATGAAGGGCGTTCTTGGCTGGACCGATCAGGAGGCTTCAAGTGCAGGGGTGGAGTGACATTTGAATCTGCACTGAATTCAGTTTTCGGTAGGTTGTGTCCACGGATTTCGTGACATGTCCGCTGTCTTCCATTTTTGTACCGGCCTCAGACAGCGTGTGCGACGGTTGTGTTTTGCTAACGTTTAAAGAAGTTGTTGCGACAGGACATAAGCGCGTGCATTGCGCTGAATGACAAGTTTGTGAAGCTCGTGTCCTGGTTCGCACGGGCCTTGCCATCATGAAGCCTGGGAAAAAGCGAAGATGCGGCAGCTGATCCCACTGAGGACAACGAGTGGGGCTATTCCAATCGGCTCGTCGATCTAGCGATCTACATGGCACACGCACAGCACTCAGTTCTTTTAAAAGATGCCATGAACGTGTGAGGAGTCGAAGCAGCGGGGAAGGGGGGAAGGGGGGAAGGGGGAAGTCGCAATGGTCTGGAAGCTAAAGCGTTCATGTTGGTAGGTTGATGGTATCATCCCGCCACCGGCAGTGATCCAGAGCATCAAGGCCTGGTTCTTTGACCTGCGGGTGGTTTTGATGCGTCCTTTGTGCAGGCGCTTGCGGATAGGTCCGAGTAGCGCTGGGGTCCAACTCCACCTCACCGAAGAGGCTCTTGTAGGACACCGTCTCCACGGACACTCGTCCCGGTGACCATCGCACACGCGCAGAGCTCCAATCTCCGGCAGATGGTGTCAGGACCATAGCCTTGGACTCGCACAGGTTCTGCACAACCTTTCCCACGATCAACTCCGTGCGGCCGTAGGGCGGCAAAGCACCATTGCTCCGGGCAACGTTGCCCCGAACTTACCCTTCGGCCCGGGTAAGGGAGCCGGTGGCTTCCCACCCACGATCTCTCCAAATCCAAGGGATCGGCGCTCGAAGTCAGCGGAGCTTTCAAACATACGAGCCGGAACTCGGATCAACTCCGCAAGTGGGATCTTCGAGATGAGCTTGCCATCCTCTCCTTGGAGAGTAGCCCGCTGGCCGCTGGCCCGTGATGGCCCTGATGGGCTGGAACTTGGTGCCCGATCGCATCGTCGGATGCCTCCACATGCGCTCTCCAACGACCCAGTCCTGCTTCAGGTGACCTCGGTCGTAGAGTTCAGCACGGCGTGCCTCCGTCATTGCGACTTCGTCAACGTGGACTCCACTTTCTTGAAGTTCCTTAACACCTGCTTAGCCCACTCATCCACAGGTAACTGTTTCAAAAAGGCACCAACTCGCGCTCAGCGTGGGCACGAAGAGACCACGCACGATCAAGGTCCCGCGGCACTAGGCCGGATTCCAGAATCGGCCGTGCATCATCGCGTAGTGAACGAGCACTCGAGACCACTCGCCGGGCACAGCCACGATGGTTCGAGACGGAGTGACTCCCAAACATGGTTGGGGGAAAGTGCAGCGCGGTCATGGTGGACGGGTCGAAACCCCATGGATCCCAGGTTCTCGAATCTCCCCGTGTCGTTTCTACCTCTCCGTTGTTCCCTACTTGCTTTCATGGTTCCGGCTTCAGTTCCCCGACCTTCCCAATACCACAGCAGAATCCCAAACCTGACTTCGAGCTTCGTCGCCAACAGCCCAAGCTCTGGAGGACCGCAGCAGGCGAACCTTTGAGACCTCGAAAGCTCAAACTCTGAACTCTAAACCTTAACCCTGGCCCTGAATACTTCTGCCTAAACCCTCAGGCCTAGATGTGTAAGAAGCCCTACATGCTAAACGCAGGATGCTGCACCTGTCGGCAGCAATCAGCTGCAGGGCCCTGCCGGGGCGGCATTGCGCAAGAAGGGCCAGCAGGCGCTGTGGACATGGGGCGGCTCTCTACACAATGGCTACTGCAAAAGAGTGAAGTTCAATTCGTTTGGGGAACCCGGGAAGGGTCACTAATTTGTAGAATTCTTCCGGGCTTCAGGGATCAAAAAGACCCAAAATCACTCGGCGCGTGGATATTGAAGGACATCTTCATGTTTGCGTCAACTTGAATTGTCAGTTTTACTCAATCGCCCCCGGAAACCCATGGAGCAAAATGGAATGGCCTGTGTGTTGACAACACTGCTCTTGACATGTTGTCGCAAGTACATGCACCGGCAAGGAAGGAAGTTCGAGACGAAGCGGCTGTCAACACGCCAGTCATTGGTCTTGTCTGTGTAGAAGCCTAAATAATTACCTCGGGAGGTTCATGTTCAGGCCTCCGTAAATCGAACAGGGTGTTGGAGTACTGTGGAAGCCTACTGTAAATAATTACCAATATTATGGTTAGGGTTCCTGATTATAACTATACTATAAAGGGCCCCCAAACCCTATTCTAATTATTAAGGCCCCTATATTAAGTAAGTTATAGGTTCTATGGGGTCCCTGTCAAGAACTAGGGATACTATGAGGGTTTAGGGTACTTAAAGAATCATGGGACTTAGACAGTAAGGTTTTAAGTACCTTGACTGGGGTGAAACATCGTGACAGGTACAGTTACCTTACTGGTAACCCTAGTTCCTAAGCGCCATGATCCTCCAGGTCAGCCTAACTTCCAAGAGCATTAACTTCATTAGCCCTATCATATGCCCTGCCCAGACACAGAGAGCCCGATACCACGTGAAGAAGGAGCAGGCTCGACCTTAAATCATAGTAGTCTTCAATTTTCATGTTGACCCCCTTGTAGTAAGGAATGGAGTATACTTTAAAGCATCATGATATTCAATATTCATGTTGAAGCCCTTGTAGTTAGGTATTTTCTCACGACCGAACCGTAGGTAGAGGAGTTTTCCCAGGCGGCCGCGCCTCCGGAGCCAGCGCAGCCTCCGCCGCAGGTGCGACACGAGTCCACGATGCGAATGTAGGGTTCCAAGGGCTTTTGCATGCAGGGTTTGGGGGTTCAGGGTTTAGGGTGCTTTCATTCAAAGACTGAAGCCTTCAGGCCTTGGACCCTACGCCCGTTAAACCCAAAACGCTCGAAACACTTTCACTTTGCTGAGATACCGAATGCCATCGAGCATTTGGATCACCTCAGACCCCAAGCCCGTGTGGAACCTTTGTGGAACTCTTGACGGGCACTCTGAGCGAAGATTTTCGAAACTGCCGGCAATGGCCTTTGTAACTCGAGGAGGTGCAGCCAGTGTCTTCAAGCCTTGTCAAGTCGCGAGGGTTCAAGTCTATATCGTCCTGTTCAACAACGCAGCACCAAGCCATAATGTAAAGCCCTGAGTTAGTACGAATTATTCCCTGCGGTTCCTGAATAGCTATGCGAGAATAGGCCCCCAAAGCCCGATGCTGATTCTTCAGCCTCCTGCAATAAGCCCTAAACCCTAAACCCTTTGTAAAGACAGAATTTTCCCATGTTCCTGTCTCATCTCAACCACAAATCCTGCTCTTGTTAACAGCAGGAACGATGTGATGCAGAAACGTTTCGCGCCCAAAAGCAATAGTAGACCGATCTGTCAAACTATATTGAGTTCTTTAGGGTTGCTTCTTTTCGCATATAAAAATTGGGTTTGGGAATAGGCCTCATGGCAGATTCCGGTAGATTGCTGCAAGATTGAGTTTCATCTCACACCGTTTACCTAAACCCTGAACCCGAAAACCTCAACCCTGAACCCTAAACCCTCAACCCTAAACCCTAAACCCCAAAGAATGCTCCCTAAACCCCGGCCCTTGTAGGATCAGAGTGTCTGTGATAAGCCTGCTTTCCAGGTGCCATCCGTTCCTCTGGAGCCTGTGCAGCAGCGGCCACAAGTGCCCGGAGGGTGTTGAGGGTTCTGGGTTTAGGGTTTAGGGGGGTTCAGGTTTCAACTCAAACCTCTCATGGTATTGAGCGCATGCTTGGGGTATGTCAGCGGTTTATACCAGGACTGCTCAGGGAAACTCATGTAGATACTCACTGAGGATGTTCTTTGGAAAGCTTTGAACTGAGGAGGACAAATGCTTTCGTTGCACCAGCACCGAGCCTCCAAAGCGTAACCCCTTCTGCCCAAGCCCTGAACTTGCCTTAACCCCGGCTTCGGGTTTAGGGGTTTAGGGGTTCTATAGGGGTTTTGGATGGAGGGTTTAGGCGTAGAATGCTTTAAGGGCGCCTGTCCTTGCAAAAGCCGAGCCGAATCTTGGGCCCCTCCGCGCCACGAAAAGCTCTCAAGGTACTATGAAGGTACGTTGGGGCCTTTACTTAAAATGTATTGCAGGGATACTATATACCGGTGCTATAAGGACAGTGTCGTATACATGTACTATACGAATACTCTATTATGGTTCTACTGGCGCTTAAGCAAACCGTCCCATGACAAAGAGTCAAGGACTTCTTCTTTAGGGCAGTTTAGAGCAGAGGATTTAGGGGTTGGGGTTGCGTCCTTTTAGTGGCAGCTGGGTTTAGGGCTTAAGTTTGTGCCATGTTTGGCATGTACCCAAAGCCTAAAGCCTTGCTCCCCGAACCGTGAAAGCTCTTGACTCAACTTGACTCCACTTAGCGATGCCCTCCCCTTGAATTCGGTTTGTGTATTCCTTGTCTCAAGCACCACTACCGCAACCTCTGAACTTTGCACCAAGCCGAAAAGACTAGAGCCGCAAATCTTACCCAAACCCCTGAGAACCGGTAGTTGGAGGATAGTGATCGGATAGTGGGACTTAGTAAGTGAGGTCGCGCAGTAGCGAAATTGGGATCATAAGTAGTCAAAAATGTAGTTACCTTGTGTATGGCCCAAGTCAGATGGTCCCTGGAGTTTCTTCAGCTCTTGGGTACTATTGCTCTTGTGGTTATAGCTTCGTTTGTGATAAGGATCTCGAAAGCATCGTGTTCTGTGTCTACCTTGTAAGGGAAGTAGTCGCAGGTGCCTCCGGAGCCAGTCGCGCAGCCGCCGAAGGCCACGTTCAAAAACGCCTTGAAGGGTCGGGAAAGGGTGGTTTCTGTAGGGTTTTCGTAGGGTACCAAAGGATACAAAAGGCACTCATCAGGCAAAATTTGCTTTGCTGACAAGATGAGGTCGGTGGTCGCAGCATTCTAGGGTTTCATAGAACAATTTAGAAGGCTCTGAACGGGCTGTCGATAGGGCTGAATAGAGGTTAATGTGCAGATCTTAGCCAGGCTTAGGGGCCGTAGAAAACGAGGAAAGTGTTCGAGGATACATTCTGGATACTTACATGGGGACTCTACGGGTATAATCGGTATACATACATTGCGCTCGCGAAATGGGTTTTCTAACTGCGCATCAGCCAATCGGCCGATCAGCCGATCAGCCGATCAGATAGTATACTTCGAGCTTCTATAGTATTAGCTCTAGGGTAGGAGCGCGAAGTGCGATGCCAGCAGTTTTGAAAGGTTGGGATTTGGGGCTTAGGGTGTTAGAAACTTGGGGTTTAGGGGATTAGGGTCGGCATCTGCTTTTTGGTGGCGCGCGGAAGCGTGAAGAGCGGTAAGAAATTGCAAGCCTGTCTCTGCAGTCTGCCGCGCCTTAAAACCCTGAAGCTCTTAGCCCTAAACACCCGAAAACCCTAAACCACTAGACCCTAAATCCCTGAAGCCCTGAACCCTTAAGTTTCAAGCCTTGTGAACACGAGGACCACCCCATGGGGTATTCGAGCCTCAGCAAATACGGCTGATGATAAAAAAATCCTGCCTTACCCATAATGAGGAGATGGTGCGAGCATTCTCATGGGTTGCAGACCCATATCTCATGTGCTCTACAACAACGGGTGCGCGCAAGCAGCTTTTCTGACGAACCACTACGTGGTGCTAGGCTCTTTAAAATGGGGCTTCCAAGTGTTCATGGTCGTGACAGACTTCCTCCGCTGGCAGGACACTTTCCCGGACGGCAAAGATGCTGTGCCGGGAATGTTCTCGGCCAGGTTTGACGGCGGGATCATAGAGCACAAGTTTCGGCATGTTCACAAGATCCTGAAGGCACCGTCTTGAACATGTGTTCTTGTTTGCTTGATCTGGCACGAAGTTTCCACCGCAAGTGTTTGCGTCATGAGTGATGGCCGACCTGTAAGGAGCACAACTTTCCGGTCCTGATGGTCGACGCCGATGTTGGTGACGACTTCGGCAAAGCAACAACGAAGTATTTAAACAAGATTGAGAAAGAAAAGGGTGTCTTGATTTGTGTTTGCACAGCCCACTATGCTGAGAAGACCAGCTCACCCTTCTGCTCTTTTAAAGAGTTACAGTTCGCCCTCGACTACAGTCTGGATGTTCTCCCGCTGAAAGTGGCAGACGTCTACCCCCCACAACCGCCTGGCGGTCCAGATCATCAGTACGACAAGGATTACGAAGCAGAGTCCGTGATCAAGATGGTCTTCAGACCCAACCTCGCCTACAAGGACACTTGGATCTTGAACTTGTCAAGAAGAACTTAACTCATTCCTCCAAGCTCGTTCGAAGCACATGAAACAGCGCATGTCAAGAACAGGCCTTGTTGAGAATCCTGCGCAACCCAGGACTGCCGCGACCTAGATGAGATGCAGATAGCTCGAGTGATCGCAGACAAGTTGCTAAAGAAGAAGACGAGCCTCGCCATGAGAAGTTCGTGGTCTTTGCAAGAATCCCTAAACCCTAAGCAGGAAGGAGAAGAGTCTTCAATCAGAGTTAAATTCTACGCAGGTACTCCTCTAAGGTATCTCTAGGGGTTCTTTTAAGGACGTCTTTCCTGAAGGCCCCGCAACATGATGTCGCAAGCACAGCCATGCCCAGGATGCCCAGGCAAGGCTCGGGACACGGATGAGAAGAAGGCTCGCTGGATCTCGGCGAGGTTGGGAACCATACCACCACAAGGGTTTCAGGGTGCAGAGTTTCGTCGCGTTTTGGAGTGAATGGGCTCTGCCAGGTCGCGCTCAGTGCTGAGAGTTGCTTGACCACTCCGCCTCCCGCTCTGCACAAGCTGAGGGTCTCGCACATCAGCTTTGATCCAAGCTGCTTGTGCATCCCGCTAGTAGGGAGTTCGGTGTTGCAGGTAACCCTTCGCCGCGAGCCCCAGACAATCCTGAGACTCCGTCAATAATCAGAATAACAATAATCGAGACAATACATACTGTTACAAATAGTGTCTGCAGCACTGACGTCAAGTTTATACATTTGTGAAGACAAGCTCGCAGGGAGGTTACCGCAATGAGGGCAGCGCTGCAGACGCTGAAGGGACGCAGCGCAGAAGCAGGTGATTCGGCTTTGCCGGAGCCACCCGTGAAACCACTCCATATTAGTGTGTTACGAAGTACGCATGAGTTGAGTCTACGGCCCATACGTAGAGCCACACCTAAAACCCGTTGAGCCCTCAATGGCCGGACTGTGCTTTCGGGCAGCCTTGCTGTTTCCCGTAGGCGGCCGGGCTGGGCACTGCACAGTTTGCAGCCTTAATAATTCGAACAGGGTTTTGGGGCCCTGTATAGTATAATTATAATAAGGAACCCTAACCATAATATAGGTAATTATTTAGGCTTCTAGGCTGGTTGATAAGGGTTTTTGTAGGGTGGTTTGGATCTCAACAGTCATAAGGGTTGGGGTCCAGGAGGCGGGGACTTAAGAGCTAGGCAGGTAGGGTTTCAAGTAGGGCATCCCCATGTTTTCCATTCGAGCTCTACTTAAGTCCTACTTAGCTCCTTGATTATGATCCTTTGGCAGCAGTTTTTCCTAGCTTCTACGTACTTTGCTGTGCAGATTGATGGAAAAGACAGCTCACAAAGCCGACTTGCTTGCGTACTCTTTGAGTTTGTTACATTTTTGGGCTGGGGCTTGTTTGAAAAGCTACCAGCAGCTTCAAGCGATCCCACAGTCCGCAATGGAGATCCAAATGGGCTGAGAGAGACGCACCCAAAATGGTGTTTAGCGGGTGAAACCCCTCAGTGTTGATGAAGATGAGATGGGTTCTGACGAGGTTACTCAGATCCCCCCTTGCTTCAGTCTTGTCAAAACCGCCACAAGCTTCTCTGAAAGCTGGCTTCAAGGATCTCGATCAAAAACACAAGAGGCTGAAAACCCAGTAATCGTCGGAATCGGGGAGCAGGAGCTGAAGAAGTGATGGAGATTCCTGGTGTTAACGCCTGCCGTGGAGGCACTTAGCTGTAGGCTTATGCCGAGCCTCTACACTCTTCACCCATCGGGTGCAAAGTTGACAAAGTGAGTTCGGTGCCTCGTGCCTGGTCTCAGACCTGTCACTGTTTTGGGCCTTGGGAGCTTTGTGCCAACCGGCTCCGAGGGTTTTGCGGCTCTGCGGGTTTGAGGTGTAGCAGTTTTGAGGTGTTCAAAGCTCACCCTAAACTCTAAACCCTGAACCCTATCGCCCTATAGGCCCTAAACCCCAAAACACTAGCACATCTCAACCATGATTCTTGTGGCGGTGCTGCTGCTCGCTCCCCTGATGTTTGCGCTGCGCGATGTGGGGTCCAGGGATGTGGAGCCCATTCAAGCTCGCCTTCAAGCTCACCCTTTAAAAGCCCTTGAGAAACCCTCCTTCAAGATTTCTGCATTTCGACAATGATGTCCACGAAACATTACATCGCAATCGGTACATTTCTTAATTTCAATGTTATGGATTGACGATATAGTTGCCGAAACCAACAAACCATTCCGCAAACCGTAAAGGGTTTTTGTTAGCATTGTCAGCGGAGCGACCGGAAGGCATGGAAACTGCAGGTTTTCTGGTTTCAACGTTGTCACGAAGGCTGGAGTTCAATTCAACAGCCCGATTGCGCGCGCGCGGTCAGTGCTGCTTCTGCAGGTCCGTGGGAGTCTAGTATCGGAGTGAAAAGGAAACAACGCAGGACGTATGTTATTTTGTATATCTCGGATGCATGTGGGTTTGTACCACGGCTGCAGAATGCTGTTGGCGCTTGATGGTTGCGTGCATTTTGGGGTTTTTAGGTTTTCAGATTGAAAAAGCATGTTGTCAGACTCCGATTGAAGCTGGTTGCCTATTGACTCTCCCTGTTGCAGCACCCCGGCTATAACTTCTGGCTCGCAGTGCACAAACCCTTGCAGTCCAAAGCGCGATCCAAGAATTGAAACGTCTTGCTGCAAAAGCATTGGCCACTCCAACTTGAAGCACCATGGTCGAAGCTGAAGCGAGATGCATTGTCCTTGTTCCGTCAACCAAAAACCTTTGTCGCCGCGAATGGCTGGCTCTGCCCGCTCGGCAGAAGAGGTGCCGAGGAGATTTTCTGAGAATTGAGATCCCTTGCTGGTGGAAACCACAGCCGTCAAGTGTCCTTGATTCCACAAATTTTACATGTTCTCAAAGATGTACATACCAGAGCATCCATGTCTCGGAGAGCTTCACCGCCGCCCCCGAGAACTTCACCTAACGCCACAGTATTCAAGCTGATGTAGTTTTGTGGGGTTCGCCGACCCGCCACCGGACCACAAAGGCTGCGACAGCAATGCAATTCGCCTACAGGCTTCAGCCTTTGAGCGGGACGCTCCGAGTGCCTTGGGAGCCCTTGTGGCCTCGACTCGCGAAGGCCAGGGTTGAAGCCGCGGTTGGTGTTTCCGGTTCAGTCGCGGCACGCAGTTTGTCGGTCTGTTTCACGACATATCACGACAAACCTCGGGTCACATGAAGCAGGATTTGTACAACGGTTTTTTGGCTAAATACGGCTCCTGAAGAATATTGGTGGGTGCATGTGTTTTACGCAGTTATGGGGTTGCAGGCAACAAAAGCCCCACTCCGCATGTAATCCATTGGCCGCCGGATAGTGTTTTGGCAGATTGCGCAGGTCTCCGGAAACCAGTGGCGCCTGCATTGCTGAGGCGGAGATAGCGAGTTGCCACATGGTTGCTGGGATTGTGGAACATGAAATCGGCATTGCCAGGAAACGCTTGTGTATGCTGTGAGCAAGACATTGCAGTGTAGACTGGTAGATTGAAGTAGTCTCGCTTGTTGAAGCACCACCCCATAGCCACACCGCGTAGCTAATGATCAGCTACTGTAGACGCTTCCAGAAATCCTTCTTTCGCCAGCCCGGGCTTGGAGGCGAGGCTCGTTGTCTCCACACGATGCGTTTCTCACAAAGGTCCACGGTCCACATTGGCATGATTTGGTGCATTGATATATGGACCATCTCCAGCACGTGCTCTGTTTAGTTTCGCATGTGCTAAGGCACCGTGTTCCTGCATCCGTAAGATGGTGCTGCCGTCTGGTGCATCCTTAAATTCAGGGCCCAGGATCTCAGTGTGCGCGGTTTTGTGAGGACAAGCTGCCCGAGCAGAAGTAGAACGTCCTGACGACTCGTGATCGTGATGACTTGGATAGAGGCAAGGCCGTGGTTGTGATCACAAATCTCAGGCTAGAGGGCTCGAGAGGAATTTTAACCTCTGAGACAAGGGAACAGACCACTCAAAAGGGAGTAGAGAATTTGCGAAAGAGGGGCGAACCGCTCGATCAGGACTCGAGAAAGCTTTTCAAAAGGAACTGAAGCAAGGGGTCAGATAAGTGGGATTAACTCGCTGGAAAGGGGTCAGATAAGTGGGATTAAATCGCTGGAAAGGGTTTGAGCAGTAAAGAAAGACGCGAAAAAGACGAGCAACCGCTCGAAAGGGCCTGGAGCAGTTGAGAAATCTGATTCCACATGTGTGAGCTTAGAGGCTGGTACAGCCTTGTATTTCATTGTAGGGATGCAAGCAGAATCTTTCTCTGTCCGGCATGGCATGTCACCTGAAGAGAAGCAGAACCTAGGTGGCTCAAGCATATACGACGTTTCAGTCCTCTTCGCTGCCAGGCCGAGCCACAAGCACGGAGGCGATTTGGTTCCCGATCCTTTGCAGAGCAGCCTGTAATGACGAACACCCCAAAGATCACCCACAGATGTGCCCTTCCAGCAGCTCCGGTAGCTCTCCCCAAATGCACGGACCTGTGGAAATGCTGCAGCTGCCAAGTGCGAGGCAGGTCGGAAGCGCGCGGAGTGGGAAGGAAGGAGCTTGAATCCAGCAACGCGACAAGCTTGGCCGGGGCCTAAGTTCATGCAGCCTTCGAAAAAACATCAGAGAATCCCACAGCCACTAGCCTGCAGAGCATGGGACACGCTGGAGCAAAGACATTTGCTCTGTGGAGCTGACGCTGACGCTGAAGACGTTGACTTTTCTCGTGCCTCATTGTGGTTTGGCTTTTGCTGTCATCGTTCTACCTATCAGCAGCAAAGCAAGCAGCATTTGCTCTCCTTGAGGCTGCTTCAGCCTGCAGCATCGGGCTAGCCAGGACACCAAGCAGGCCCTGTCTGCCTGCACGCTTCCTGATGCAGACAGGAAGGGACGGCGAGGATTGTTTGCCTAAATCTTATGTCTTGGACCTTGCCGTGGTTGAGCTTGGTCTGCCATGCGGGAGCCCGAATAGCCGTCCGCGGCTCAAAAAGATAGAGATATAGATGGATGCAAAATGGATTCCATATCGGATCTCGTGGCATTTTGCCCTGATCCTCGAATTGACCTGCATTGATTCACTTCGCGACTCAGACTTTGACTTCCGCACGCTTACGATGCTCGGCACGCAAGTTTTTCGAAAGCTTCTCCCCCTCAGCTTAAATTCAGCAGCAAACCTTGTCATTCTCACTTGCCGAAAGAAGGGTGGCATGGTTTTTCGGCAGAACAGTCGCAGTCCGACAACGGGAGAAGACTGAACCCCGAAGCTAAAAAGCTCTCAGTCTCAGGACCTCCCAAGAGGAGTGCCCAGAGATCTGCACTTCGCCTTCGGGCCGCAGTGGTTCCTACGAGCTGCACGGAGAAGCCGCCAGAAGCCTTGGAAAGGCCAAGCAGCTCGGGCTTTTTATAAGGGTTTCTTGTTGGTTTTATGGTTTAGGGGTTTAGAAGCTTTGAGGTTTCGATATCTATGGAGGCTTTCGAAAGGGAGTTGGGCAGCCGAGGTACTTCGTGAGCGCCAACTGTGCAGATGCCTCGGCCGATTCTAGCCCAAAGGCCAACGTGGTGCCCTGGATCGATGCCGAGGACCGGAGAAGGGCTGACGCCGGGCGGGTGGTTCCTTGAAACAGCATGGCATATTGGCATCCACCAAAGGACAAGGGTTGATGATAGGAAATAATTAGACTTCATCATGTGCGATTGAGTCTTGCCGGAAGGACCCGGTGAATGGCTCGTTCGTGGCAGTCTTCGTAGACCCCGTCCTTATTAACAAGATGCGTGCTGGGACGTCGGACAAAGCCAAGCTCTGTGCAGCTCAGCCGCTTGGCAGCCACGTGTCGAAGACGCGGTGCTCCTCAATTGATTTCTCGATAGATGCACAAGTGCATGTCGGTTGAAAGAGGATTTGCCTTTTTTTGCGCCACGAGCGAGCATAACCTCGTTGCACTTGCTTTTTGGATTGAATGAGGAGCGACGATACCCATTGCGTTTGCAAGCTGAGTGGTGAACGGCCGCTGGGCGTTGCTCGGCCATAGTAGTGTTTCTGGTGTTGATAGACAGGAGGTTCTTTGTCAGGATCCAGGTCCCTGCCATGCTGCTTTGCAGCGCCGCAGGGTAGTTGCAATTCAATTCAAGCGCTTAAGGGCTTGTTGCGCTTCTGCTGCCCGAGCAGCTCAGGGGGCTTCTAGGGTGATGAAAGAGGATGAAAGAGGCCCGGACGTTGAGGCATTGAGGCTGAGAGGCTGACACAGTGGGCCGGTGTTTCCGTGACATGCGCACATTCGGTGAGCTCAGGAGCAAGCCCGAAGCCAACCCTGCCACCCCTGTGCGTCCCAAACACGAGGTGCTGGGACGCATGTTGGCGGCACTCCCCCACTCCAAGAAAGCGCAGGCGCTGCAGCGGCTCGGCTGCGAGCAGTTGTCCTGACGTGTGGAAGTGTCCGGAGCTCCTGCACTGCAAGCGCTTGCCCGAAAGGATTTCCATGGAGAACTGCCCGGAGGGGGTGCCGGACCTCCTGGCTGGCGCCTGGGCGAGGATAGCTTCGCTTCTTTTCTTTAGTGAAATGTCGGCTGTGGTGTCGTGCTTCCCACAGCCGTCGGGACGAAGCTGAGGCACGGTGCTGGCAAGCCTCGTGCTGATTCTTGGGGTGTCCGTCCGGATGGTGTGCATGTCTGCGGCAAGCGAGAAGCTGGAGGAACCCAAGCCGGCGACGCTAAATCAGAGTTTTGTCAGGGTGAAGAGCCCGATGCAGAACTTCCTCAGCAGCTACTCCTGGGCAGCCGGCTTTCTCCTCTCCTTGATGGCCTTGCAGACGGGAGCCTTGGCAGTGGTCCGGAAGTCCTCCGAAGAGGAGGCCCGTGCTTTCAGAAAGTGAGAGCCGCAGGAAGCCGCTTCGAGCTCCTCTCATTAGTTCCCACGAAACCCTGCGGCAGGCCCCCGTGTGGATCGTCGCAGCCTGCCCTGCCGCCCTGGCGCTTGCGGCTGCCCTGCGCCTGTCGCAGCTTCTCGTGAAGAAGCAGTTGGTGCACGCGTTCCTGAAGTGGGACGTGATCATCACCGATTTGCCGGATGACGTTATCCTCGACGCCGTGCTCGTGGTCGCAATCCTGGCGTACTTCCTCTTCATCCTCTACCTCGTAAGCATCGACCTGCAGACACTGGTGGTCGCCTTGACAGCTCTGGGCAGCGCATTGTGGACCGTCCTCAAGGCCGTGAGCACTGCGCGGGACCTGGACAATAGTCTCGAGACCGTGGAGATGGGCTCTTCGTGCCTGGTAGCCGGCACGGTAAGGCTCGAAATGAAGCCACTGCCCTGGGCCACGCTGCTGGCTCTCAAGGAACCGCAGGACCACGTGCTTGTCGCACAGAGAGCAGTTCACGTGGAGTAGCAGCACACACTTGCCAGCACCTTCAGACAGGAGCAAGAACTACTACAGCAAGATGCAGCAGCAGCAGCAGCAGCAGCAGCAGCAGCAGCAGCAGCAGCAGCCGCAGCCTCCTCCTCCTCCTCCTGCTCCTCTCAGATCCTGCCATCTCCTTTTCGTGATGGTGCTGCGCAGTGGAGACGACGAAGATGATGATGATGATGATGATGATGATGATGTGGATGGGTATGGTGAGTGCGACGATGACGATGATGATTCTGATATTGCTGCTGGAGGTGATGATGCTGACGATGGTGACGACATGTGTTTCTCCTGGATGAATGCAGTCACGTGCGGCACGAGCCGGAGACTCGCAGGAGCTTCGCAAGCTCTTGGAGTCGGACTCCCCCAGCACCGGATCCACGTTGCCTTCCTCGACTGCATCGTCCCGCAGATGGAGCTTGACATCCGTGGCTCGGCAGGGGCCCCTGCTCCGTTTCTTGAGCCGCTCCCGAGCCGGCTTCCTCGTGTTGCCAGCCTTCCTGGCCCTGGTGGCATTCTCGTGCTGCATCTCCGCCGGGCACATGACGGCCTACGCGTGTTCGGTCGGGGAGCTCGCGGACCTGAAGCTGGCCAGCTCCTTGCACTCCCTGGAGTTCCTCCCCTGGCGGCTTGGCTCGCAAAAGCCTGGTTTGTCCAAATGGGCGAATACAAATTATGATGTCAAGTTGCGAGTTTGGGCTCTGAGGCAGACCCGGTACGAAGTCACAAGCGACGTGTCCTTCACGAAATTGGCCCTGGTTGCTGGTGTTAGCCCCCCTACCACGCGTCGCATCTCCATCACCCAGCCGCAAGCCACCAGCATGCCACCCTCCAGCCCACGTGTCATTGCGGTTGACGACCAGCACGGCATGGCAGTCGAAGAGATCCAGCTGTCGCACAGGCAAGTTCCGCGCGTGGCCACCATCCGCGTCCAGGGCCTCCGTCCTTCTCGGCCCGAAACCACGTATGAAGTGCGCTTCTCGCCATCGGCGACGATGCCGGCAGCCCTCCGGATCACCGCCCAGGAGTTTCAGAGAACCATCGCCTGGTCTTCCTTGCCCGGATCGGTCTTCAGCATCCCAGAAGGCCAGCGCGATCATCATCATGGGTTTCTCAAGAGCTTAGAGGTGTAGTGTATTCTAAAGGCAGGGGCGCTTTTGCTGGTCTCCCTGAGGTCTCCAAGACTTTCGCGTCGAAGTGCAGCTCGCCGACTTCCTCCTGGGCTTCCCGAGGCCCCGCAGCCACGGACCCGCTGCTGTGGGGCAGCTTTGGACGACTTACTGGGACCGCCCGAATGCGACGGAGGAGAGCTGCTCAGCGGATTGCGCCCATGACCTGGCATGCCTGGAGTCCTACGTCGGACCAGGTGGCTGCTACGCGGTGCTTGCCGACAGGAAGGGGTTGGAGTCGGGCGACCTCTCCGAGAATCTTCCAAGCTCAGTCAAGGCTGCAGAGCAGAATCTCACGGGCCGCTTGAGCGGGTGTCGGCTGGAGGAGGTGCGAGCCGCTGGAGAGGCAGAGGAGGCCAAGCGAGGCAAGACGACTCAGTGCAGGGACGACGTGGAGATGAAGCCGGGCCAGCTCCAGCTCTTTTTCGGCAGAGTGCAGCCAGACTGGGCCTTCCACCTCGCTACCCTCAGCTTTGCTTTGAAGCTGGAGACGGGAGGCCAAAAGTTCGAGGCCGAGGCCACGCCCATCTTTTTCAGGCAAGGGACGCCACCTCCAAGCGACGCGATGGCCATGCTCGTAGGACACAACGCCAGCGGCAGCTTCGTGCTGAAGACCGAGAGCTCCCTGGACGTGCAGGCGCGAACAGAGAGTTGGGTTCCCTGACGATCTCTGAAAGTTGAAGGGTGGCGGCAGAGGTTTTTGTGGGATGTTGAAGCTTTCAAGCTAAACACCCGGTTTGCAGGGAAACGTGGTCATCTCCGTCTCGAAGTACGACCCGCTTGCCTTTGACACTCTTCGCTTGCTCGTGATGCCGATGCTGCCGGACCCGGTGCCTGGGCTCGTGCTGCTTCCGGCTTGTATGCGGAGGGTTTGGGGTAGAGGGCTTCTAGGATTCATGGACTTAACGGAGGGAGGGGCGAGAGAGAGAGAGAGAGAGAGACAGAGATAGGGAAAATGAGAGGGACTGAGAGAGCGGTGCCGCCCAGTAGAAAGGAGCGACCGCTGAGGCCTTCCGCGCCAACTGGTCCGAGTGGTCTCCAGCCACTAAGGCAGACCTGCAGCTCCTGCAAAGGCACGGGCGCTGCTTGGAGAGCGGGTTGATCAGGTGGCGCTACAGCATCTGCGGTGCCTACCACGGCTCGAACGACAGCTCAGGCCTCGGAGATGAGCCACTTGCCGTGCAGATTAACCCAATCCAGGGCCAGATGGAGGCCGCTGCTCAGTTCACAGTGGTGGTCCGCCAGAAGGCGCGGGAGTGGGGGTTTTCGTCCTCACAATGGCACACCGTGGTCATGCAGTACGAGGCGGTGGACAGCCCCGCTGCCTGGGCAGCTCAGCTGCACGGATGTTCGCTCCTGAATGTGAGCACCATAGCCGAAGGCGCCGTCCTTGCGTCCGCGGACGGGCTATGTGAGCTGCTCCCAACTTGCCATGCACAGCTGTGCGAGCAAGTGCGTGAGCAAAGCCTCGGTGGCAGGGAAACCTATGATTTCGGAAGAGGACAAGACGTCCACCCACCGGCGCTTCTGTCGCCGGCTGGCACCGTGAAGCTGCTAGCCTGCATGGAAGAAGCCGCTCCAAGCTGCAGCGAGAGCCTTCGAACACAATGGCACTACAAGCAGAGCCACGTAGGCATGGACGGCTACAGTCTTGCGTTCTCCATACAGACCTTGCTGGAGCAAGCGAGCAGTAGCACCGCGCTGAGCTTGTTGAAGGAGATCCGAAGGAACCTGCGCCAAGAGGAAGCCGAGCGATTCGACGTGGACGCTGTGCGGGAGGTCTGGCGACTGCCGGAGCCGTCAGGTGACCTTCTCTCCACACTGGCAGTCCTGGACGAGAAAATGCCCCAGCGCCTGGCAGAAGCTCTGGTGAAGAGCCCCTTAGGCACGATGCCACCCGTGACGCCGCAGGTGCAGGCGCAGCTCCTTACATCGTTTTGTTATCTGCAGTTTTTTGTTATATATATATATATATATCTCTCTCTCTCTCTCTTTCTGTTTTGTTTGTCTCTCTCTCTCTCTCTTATTTCTCTGTTTCTTGCTCTTTGGATGGTATGGTGTCGCACACAGTGCATGTCTTCTGAGGCACAGCGTGCGTGCGCTTCACCCCACATGTCCAGCATGCAGCCGACTGACTCTGGGGCTCTCGAATCAATAAACAGTCGGAAAGGATGCACAAAGATGTCAAGTCTTCGAAGGCCCTCGTCCTTGCATATAGAAGGTTTCCTCCTGCATCGAAGGATTCCTGAACTAGCCGGCTCCCTGAACTAGCCATGCACCATCGTACGAAGCTGGCTTTCTGTATTTCGCCGATTCCGGAGCTGCATGCCATCATCCATCCGTGAATGACCATCATGTTGTTAACGCTGTGCGGCAGCAAGAAACAGGCGCGCTGTGATCAGTCGCATGTGTGCGCAGGCGGCCTTCGGTAACCTGACGAAGATGCAGGTGTCCCTGGAGGATGCGGCCCAGCTCGGGCAGCTGGGCGCGCTGGCGCAGCTCGCGCCGAAGCTGCGAGAGCTTACGATCTCCTGCGCTCTGTGCCCGGCGGACCGCACAATCCCGGAGCCCGAAACTCTGCGGTCCTTCGAGCGCCTCAGCGCTCTCGAGGAGTTGGTGCTCGACGACTTCCGGCTCTTGACTCTTCGAGCGAAGGCCTTCGGAAGCCTCGGAAAGCTGAAGGGGTTGCGTCTGCCCAACAACCAACTCCAGAGCCTGCAGTCCGGCGCGTTCCAGGGCCTCGAAGGGCTGAAGGAGTTGCATCTGGAGTACAACCAACTCCAGAGCTTGGAGTCGGGCGCGTTCCAGGGGCTGGGAGGGCTGAAGAAGTTGGATCTGGGCTTCAACCACCTCCGCAGCCTGAAGCCGGGCGCTTTCCAGGGGCTCAAAGAGCTGGAGACGTTGGTTCTGGAGGGCAACCCGCTGCAAACCCCCCCAGCGATCTGCGAGCAAGGAGTGGAATGCGACATTTGATTCGGCAACGTGCGCTGAAGAGCCAAAAAAGAGCTGATGGCTGCGTGCCTCCCTGGTTCGTTGAGCTTGGGTCCCTCACAGGCCTGAGAGCCGCATCGTCTCTTCCAAAGTTGCCACTTCTATCCCGCGGGCTCCTTGAAATGGGAAGCGGTGTCTGCCCAATGCTCTGTTGCAGGCCGGAAGTCGGGGGAAGCCTCGACGAAGGGCTCCGAGGGTGGGCCGTTACCCGTCAGGTCCTCAGGCTGCAAAAAGGGAGACGTTTGAAGGTTTTGCTGGGCGGGGGAGTTTCGAACCAGGAGTCTCGGGGGCTCAGCGTTTTTGTTCTTGGATCTTCTGGGTCTCATGGCCTTTGAGTGGCGTCGAGGCTCAGTAGTTGTGAGGCAGAAGCAACATCGATACGCACTCAAGCTTTCACCCCCACCCCCGCAAAGTATCTTTCCTTCAAAGCAACAAGTATGTAGGGCACAGTTCTGCAGAGGGGGTTGCTTTAGCAGATTTAGGGGTTTACGTTCGTGCAGAAGACCAGGTTCTGATTCTTAGGGTTTAGGGCTTAGGGCTTAGGGTTTAGTGTTCTAGGAGACTTCGAACCTTCGGTCCTGAGCGGAGTCCTCTCACAGAGCGTTTCTTGCCACCTGTACCTCCCCACCAGCACTGGAACATCCACTGAAGCCAGAGCTAGTTGTCTCAGCTTCGGGCTTTGGCGGTGGGACTTTGGAAGTGCGAGGGTTGTGTGACGCCTCTCGCCTCCAGGCTTGCGCAGGATGGGACGAAGACGCGCAACGCCGGCAGGAAAAGCTGCTCATGCCGTTTGCTCGGGAGTCTGCAGCTTTTTTCATACTACTCGGAAGCAAACCCTGAACCTCTAAACTCCCGTCGTTGTGGTAACATGACCACTTTGACCCAGACTTACTTGCAACCAAACTGTAGATTGCAGTGTCCTTTCCGTTTACGGTGTAACCATCCGTGGCCCCCACAGACTTCGGTTTTCCATCTTGTCGACACGGATCAGGGAGCAGATGCGCTGCATGCTTAGGGACGAGGTGCCTCGAGTCGAGGCGAGGAAAGGATCTTGGCTTGCAGGTTGTGAGTTAGCATGACGTTCTACGTCCGCAATACTGGGGCTGTGACAGGCTGGGGATTCTCACCATGTCGGCGTGTTCCGCTCAAGACTCCAAGCTTCAAATTCTGCACCCTCCTGTGAACTTTGAAGCTTTCATGCAGTACCAGCCGTGAGTCAAATCACGGCGACACACGGACCTGCCTGACACGAGTCGCAGAAGTCTCGGATTCCCACAAGACGCCCGAAAGCGCCCCCACACTCTGTCCCCTGAGCGCGAAGTCCGACTCCATTTCCCAAAACCTTCTTCGTGCTGCTGTTGAGCCATGACGGCCCCGGCAGATGCGAGCTACTTCCGTGAGGAGCCGCCGTGACGAAATTTCCCGGGCCCCGAAAGCAGTTCCAACGGCTTCACATGTAAGCCTGCTCAGGCACGGATGGTGGTCGGTGTTGTCGTCTTCTGAATGCCTTGAGCCCTAAACCCAAAAGACATGAAGAGCGCTGAACCGTCAAGCCTCCTTGCTCACCCTGCGCAAAGCAGCAGGATGTCCTCGCCGGCCGTGTGGCTTTGGTCACTGGCGGCGGCAGCGGCATCGGCTTCGAGGCTTGGGATTTAGAAGGAAAGAGCTTTCGTGGGCGGGTTTGGGGTGCCGAGGGGTCGTGCGGAATTTGAGTCTTCAAGCCTTGGTTGGGTTCGCAAAATCTCATCATCCGAAACCACAAACCCGACGTTCGGTCACAGATCCGAGGACTCCCATGCAATTATAGGAAGTGTGAGGGTTTGTGGGCGGCCTGCAGCCTGGATCTCATACATTGCTCCACGTCTTTGTCGCCGAGCGTGATTGCACAGGCCCTCAAACCCTCAAACTCCAACTCTTTATTTTGGAACCACGACGGAACATAGAAAAACTGCGGCGCCAGGTCGCACGCCAGTTCGGCCTGCATGGCTGTGCAGGCGTCGTGCTCGTCGGACGCAGGTGGCACGGGTTCGAACTCCTTGTAAATACGGTATGGAGGCCTTGATGCTTAGCCTTGGCTTAACGGGCCTACCGTAGGGTTTAGGGCTTGCAGGGTTCAGGGTTTCGAGTTTAGGACGCAAGCCTGAAAGCTCAAGGGGTGGAGGAGTGATGCCTGGACACGGGAATCCAGGAGTTGTCAGGTGTGGGAACTTTCATCCGGAGGGAGGCCTGGAACTCTGAACCGTAAGCCGCGAAGCCGAAACCAAACCCTCCAAAAGCCACTGAGGTCTGAAGCCTGAGCGTTTCCTGAAACGGACCCCTAAAGTCCTAAAGCCCTCAGCAAAACCTGGAGAATCCAGAACCCCAAACCAAAGCCCGGAACACCCCAAACGTCCCAAAAGACGCCACTTGTCGCGGCCCAAACGCCCTAACCTAGGACCCCGAGACCCTACCCAACACGCCGAAAAGATTGCGGAAAGCCCTGAAACCCGAAGCCGCATCTGCTCTGCTCGCCGGGACCCCAAAGCCCCAGACTCGCCAAAGCCCTGAACCCTCAAGATTGCTTTGAGGCATCCGCCTTTTTCGGCGTTCCCTACACCTCTGGCTTGCCTTGACTCAGATGTGCAGGACGCTTTCAGGGTTTGGGGCTTTTCGGATTAGAATATTCAGTAAGGGTTTAGGGCTTCAGGGTCTTAGAGTTTAGATTTTGGGTTTGAGGGTTTACATCCACTTGTGGCCGTCTACGCCGTTTCTCACGCCGTTCGTCTGGTGCATCCTTAAACTCAGGGCCCAGGATCTCAGTGTGTGCGGTTTTGTGAGGACGAGCTGCGCGGGTAGAAGCAGCACGTCCTGACGACTCGTGGTCGAGGACTTGCAGAGAGGCAAGGCCGGTGGATGCGCGCGTTGTGATCACAAGTCTCAGGCAGAGGGCTCGAGAGGAATTTCGACATCTGAGACAAGGGAACAGACCACTCAAAAGTGAGTAGAGAGTTTGCGAAAGAGGGGCGAACCGCTCGATCAGAACTCGAGAAGGCGCGCACAACGAGAAACTTTGTCAAACGGGATTGAAGCAAGGGGTCGGATAAGGGGTTTGAGCAGTAAAGAAAAACGCTAAAAAGACGAGCAAACCCCTCGAAAGGGCCTGGAGCAATTGAGAAGTCTGCTTCCAAATGTGTGAGCTTAGAGGCTGATGCAGGCTTGCGTGTCATTGTAGGGATGCAAGCAGAAGACATGGCATGTCACCTGAAAAGAAGCAGAACCTAGGTGGCTCTAGCCTCTACGGCATTTCCTCTTCGTTGCCAGGCCGAGCCACCAGCACGGGAGGAGCTTTGGTTCCCGATCCTTCGCAGAGCAGCCTGTAATGACGAACACCTTGAAGACCAGCCACAGATATGAGCTGCCCTTCCAGCACCTACGGTAGCTCTCCCCAAATGCACGGACCTATGGGAGATGCTGCCACTGCCAAGCGCGAGCACATCTCAGACGAGGCACGTCTAAAGCGCGCGGAGTGGGAAGGAAGGAACTTGAATCCAGCCACGCGACAAGCTTGGCCGGGGCCTAAGTTCATGCTCAGAGAATCCCACGGCCACTAGCTGCAGAGCATGGGACACGCTGGAGCAAAGACATCTGCTCTGCGGAGCTGACGCTGACGCTGAAGACGTTGACTTTTCTCGTGCCTCATTGTGGTTTGTTTTTTACTGTCATCGTTCTACCTATCAACAGCAAAGCAATTTGCATTTGCTCTGCTTGAGGCTGCTTCAGCCTGCGGCATCGGACCAGAAGGGACACCAAGCAGGCGCTGCATGCCCGCACACTTCCTGATGCAGACAGGAAGGGACGGCGAGGATTGTTTGCCTAATTCTTATGTCTTGGACCTTGCCGTGGTTGAGCTTGGTTTGCCATGCGGGAGCCCGAATAGCCGTCCTCGGCTCAAAGGATAGAGATATATAGATGGATGCAAAATGGATTCCATATCGGATCTCGTGGCATTTTGCCCTGATCCTCGAATTGACGTGCATTGATTCCCTTCGCGACTCAGACCTCGACTTCCGCACGCTCACGATGCTTGGCACGCAAGTCTTTGAAAGCTTCTCCCCCTCAGCTTAAATTCAGCAGCAAACCTTGTCATTCTCACTTGCCGAAAGAAGGGTGGCATGGTTTTTCGGCAGAACAGTCGCAGTCCGACAACGGGAGAAGACTGAACCCCGAAGCTAAAAAGCTCTCAGTCTCAGGACCTCCCAAGAGGAGTGCCCAGAGATCTGCACATCGCCTTCGGGCCGCAGTGGTTCCTACGAGCTGCACGGAGAAGCCGCCAGAAGCCTTGGAAAGGCCAAGCAGCTCGGACTTTCTATAAGGGTTTCTTGTTGGTTTTATGGTTTAGGGGTTTAGAAGGATTGAGGTTTCGATATCTATGGAGGCTTTCGAAAGGGAGTTGGGCAGCCGAGGTACTTCGTGAGCGCCAACTGTGCAGATGCCTCGGCCGATTCTAGCCCAAAGGCCAACGTGGTGCCCTGGATCGATGCCGAGGACCGGAGAAGGGCTGACGCCGGGCGGGTGTTTCCTTGAAACAGCATGGCATATTGGCATCCACCAAAGGACAAGGGTTGATGATAGGAAATAATTAGACTTCATCATGTGCGATTGAGTCTTGCCGGAAGGACCCGGTGAATGGCTCGTTCGTGGCAGTCTTCGTAGACCCCGTCCTTATTAACAAGATGCGTGCTGGGACGTCGGACAAAGCCAAGCTCTGTGCAGCTCAGCCGCTTGGCAGCCACGTGTCGAAGACGCGGTGCTCCTCAATTGATTTCTCGATAGATGCACAAGTGCATGTCGGTTGAAAGAGGATTTGCCTTTTTTTGCGCCACGAGCGAGCATAACCTCGTTGCACTTGCTTTTTGGATTGAATGAGGAGCGACGATACCCATTGCGTTTGCAAGCTGAGTGGTGAACGGCCGCTGGGCGTTGCTCGGCCATAGTAGTGTTTCTGGTGTTGATAGACGGGAGGTTCTTTGTCAGGATCCAGGTCCCTGCCATGCTGCTTTGCAGCGCCGCAGGGTAGTTGCAATTCAATTCAAGCGCTTAAGGGCTTGTTGCGCTTCTGCTGCCCGAGCAGCTCAGGGGGCTTCTAGGGTGATGAAAGAGGATGAAAGAGGCCCGGACGTTGAGGCATTGAGGCTGAGAGGCTGACACAGTGGGCCGGTGTTTCCGTGACATGCGCACATTCGGTGAGCTCAGGAGCAAGCCCGAAGCCAACCCTGCCACCCCTGTGCGTCCCAAACACGAGGTGCTGGGACGCATGTTGGCGGCACTCCCCCACTCCAAGAAAGCGCAGGCGCTGCAGCGGCTCGGCTGCGAGCAGTTGTCCTGACGTGTGGAAGTGTCCGGAGCTCCTGCACTGCAAGCGCTTGCCCGAAAGGATTTCCATGGAGAACTGCCCGGAGGGGGTGCCGGACCTCCTGGCTGGCGCCTGGGCGAGGATAGCTTCGCTTCTTTTCTTTAGTGAAATGTCGGCTGTGGTGTCGTGCTTCCCACAGCCGTCGGGACGAAGCTGAGGCACGGTGCTGGCAAGCCTCGTGCTGATTCTTGGGGTGTCCGTCCGGATGGTGTGCATGTCTGCGGCAAGCGAGAAGCTGGAGGAACCCAAGCCGGCGACGCTAAATCAGAGTTTTGTCAGGGTGAAGAGCCCGATGCAGAACTTCCTCAGCAGCTACTCCTGGGCAGCCGGCTTTCTCCTCTCCTTGATGGCCTTGCAGACGGGAGCCTTGGCAGTGGTCCGGAAGTCCTCCGAAGAGGAGGCCCGTGCTTTCAGAAAGTGAGAGCCGCAGGAAGCCGCTTCGAGCTCCTCTCATTAGTTCCCACGAAACCCTGCGGCAGGCCCCCGTGTGGATCGTCGCAGCCTGCCCTGCCGCCCTGGCGCTTGCGGCTGCCCTGCGCCTGTCGCAGCTTCTCGTGAAGAAGCAGTTGGTGCACGCGTTCCTGAAGTGGGACGTGATCATCACCGATTTGCCGGATGACGTTATCCTCGACGCCGTGCTCGTGGTCGCAATCCTGGCGTACTTCCTCTTCATCCTCTACCTCGTAAGCATCGACCTGCAGACACTGGTGGTCGCCTTGACAGCTCTGGGCAGCGCATTGTGGACCGTCCTCAAGGCCGTGAGCACTGCGCGGGACCTGGACAATAGTCTCGAGACCGTGGAGATGGGCTCTTCGTGCCTGGTAGCCGGCACGGTAAGGCTCGAAATGAAGCCACTGCCCTGGGCCACGCTGCTGGCTCTCAAGGAACCGCAGGACCCCGTGCTTGTCGCACAGAGAGCAGTTCACGTGGAGTAGCAGCACACACTTGCCAGCACCTTCAGACAGGAGCAAGAACTACTACAGCAAGATGCAGCAGCAGCAGCAGCAGCAGCAGCAGCAGCAGCAGCAGCAGCAGCCGCAGCCTCCTCCTCCTCCTCCTTGGTGCTGCGCAGTGGAGACGACGAAGATGATGATGATGATGATGATGATGATGTGGATGGGTATGGTGAGTGCGACGATGACGATGATGATTCTGATATTGCTGCTGGAGGTGATGATGCTGACGATGGTGACGACATGTGTTTCTCCTGGATGAATGCAGTCACGTGCGGCACGAGCCGGAGACTCGCAGGAGCTTCGCAAGCTCTTGGAGTCGGACTCCCCCAGCACCGGATCCACGTTGCCTTCCTCGACTGCATCGTCCCGCAGATGGAGCTTGACATCCGTGGCTCGGCAGGGGCCCCTGCTCCGTTTCTTGAGCCGCTCCCGAGCCGGCTTCCTCGTGTTGCCAGCCTTCCTGGCCCTGGTGGCATTCTCGTGCTGCATCTCCGCCGGGCACATGACGGCCTACGCGTGTTCGGTCGGGGAGCTCGCGGACCTGAAGCTGGCCAGCTCCTTGCACTCCCTGGAGTTCCTCCCCTGGCGGCTTGGCTCGCAAAAGCCTGGTTTGTCCAAATGGGCGAATACAAATTATGATGTCAAGTTGCGAGTTTGGGCTCTGAGGCAGACCCGGTACGAAGTCACAAGCGACGTGTCCTTCACGAAATTGGCCCTGGTTGCCAGTGTCCGCCCCTCTGCCACCCGCCTTATGTCCATCGCCCAGCCGCAAGCTACGAGCATGCCGCCTTCCAGCCCCCGAGTCATTGCGGTTGAGGAGAAGCAGAGCGTGGCGGTCGAAGAGATCCAGCTGTCGCACCGGCAAGTTCCGCGCGTGGCCACCATCCGCGTCCAGGGCCTCCGTCCTTCTCGGCCCGAAACCACTTACGAAGTGCGCTTCTCGCCGTCAGCCACGATGCCGGCAGCCCTCCGGATCACCGCCCAGGAGTTCCAGAGAACCATCGCCTGGTCTTCCTTGCCCGGATCGGTCTTCAGCATCCCAGAAGGCCAGCGCGATCATCATCATGGGTTTCTCAAGAGCTTAGAGGTGTAGTGTATTCTAAAGGCAGGGGCGCTTTTGCTGGTCTCCCTGAGGTCTCCAAGACTTTCGCGTCGAAGTGCAGCTCGCCGACTTCCTCCTGGGCTTCCCGAGGCCCCGCAGCCACGGACCCGCTGCTGTGGGGCAGCTTTGGACGACTTACTGGGACCGCCCGAATGCGACGGAGGAGAGCTGCTCAGCGGATTGCGCCCATGACCTGGCATGCCTGGAGTCCTACGTCGGACCAGGTGGCTGCTACGCGGTGCTTGCCGACAGGAAGGGGTTGGAGTCGGGCGACCTCTCCGAGAATCTTCCAAGCTCAGTCAAGGCTGCAGAGCAGAATCTCACGGGCCGCTTGAGCGGGTGTCGGCTGGAGGAGGTGCGAGCCGCTGGAGAGGCAGAGGAGGCCAAGCGAGGCAAGACGACTCAGTGCAGGGACGACGTGGAGATGAAGCCAGGCCAACTCCAGCTCCCCTTCGGCAGAGTGCAGCCAGACTGGGCCTTCCACCTCGCTACCCTCAGCTTTGCTTTGAAGCTGGAGACGGGAGGCCAAAAGTTCGAGGCCGAGGCCACGCCCATCTTTTTCAGGCAAGGGACGCCACCTCCAAGCGACGCGATGGCCATGCTCGTAGGACACAACGCCAGCGGCAGCTTCGTGCTGAAGACCGAGAGCTCCCTGGACGTGCAGGCGCGAACAGAGAGTTGGGTTCCCTGACGATCTCTGAAAGTTGAAGGGTGGCGGCAGAGGTTTTTGTGGGATGTTGAAGCTTTCAAGCTAAACACCCGGTTTGCAGGGAAACGTGGTCATCTCCGTCTCGAAGTACGACCCGCTTGCCTTTGACACTCTTCGCTTGCTCGTGATGCCGATGCTGCCGGACCCGGTGCCTGGGCTCGTGCTGCTTCCGGCTTGTATGCGGAGGGTTTGGGGTAGAGGGCTTCTAGGATTCATGGACTTAACGGAGGGAGGGGCGAGAGAGAGAGAGAGAGAGACAGAGATAGGGAAAATGAGAGGGACTGAGAGAGCGGTGCCGCCCAGTAGAAAGGAGCGACCGCTGAGGCCTTCCGCGCCAACTGGTCCGAGTGGTCTCCAGCCACTAAGGCAGACCTGCAGCTCCTGCAAAGGCACGGGCGCTGCTTGGAGAGCGGGTTGATCAGGTGGCGCTACAGCATCTGCGGTGCCTACCACGGCTCGAACGACAGCTCAGGCCTCGGAGATGAGCCACTTGCCGTGCAGATTAACCCAATCCAGGGCCAGATGGAGGCCGCTCCTCAGTTCACAGTGGTGGTCCGCCAGAAGGCGCGGGAGTGGGGGTTTTCGTCCTCACAATGGCACACCGTGGTCATGCAGTACGAGGCGGTGGACAGCCCCGCTGCCTGGGCAGCTCAGCTGCACGGATGTTCGCTCCTGAATGTGAGCACCATAGCCGAAGGCGCCGTCCTTGCGTCCGCGGACGCTTTGTGTGAGCTGCTCCCAACTTGCCATGGGCAGCTGTGCAAGCAAGTGCGTGAGCAAAGCCTCGGTGGAACGAAAACCTATGATTTCGGAAGAGGACAAGACGTCCACCCACCGGCGCTTCTGTCGCCGGCTGGCACCGTGAAGCTGCTAGCCTGCATGGAAGAAGCCGCTCCAAGCTGCAGCGAGAGCCTTCGAACACAATGGCACTACAAGCAGAGCCACGTAGGCATGGACGGCTACAGTCTTGCGTTCTCCATACAGACCTTGCTGGAGCAAGCGAGCAGTAGCACCGCGCTGAGCTTGTTGAAGGAGATCCGAAGGAACCTGCGCCAAGAGGAAGCCGAGCGATTCGACGTGGACGCTGTGCGGGAGGTCTGGCGACTGCCGGAGCCGTCAGGTGACCTTCTCTCCACACTGGCAGTCCTGGACGAGAAAATGCCCCAGCGCCTGGCAGAAGCTCTGGTGAAGAGCCCCTTAGGCACGATGCCACCCGTGACGCCGCAGGTGCAGGCGCAGCTCCTTACATCGTTTTGTCATCTGCTCTCTCTCTCTCTCTCTCTCTCTCTCTCTCTC